AAACTATTCATCATCCACATACTGGTACTTTAGAAGAATTATTTTTATATTTGTTTTATCGTCAAAAACGAATTTGTGAAAATTATCATGTTCGAATTAATGCATTTTTAATATCTCAATCTTTTGTCGAATTAAAAGCTGTATGGCGCTATGATATAAAATTTTCCTTTTTACCCATTAATCGACTATTCTTAATACTAGATTTACAAGAAAAAGTTTTTTTTGATCAAACGAAATGTCATTGCATTCATGATTAGTGTCTACTATATGTTAATATTAACGAAACATATTTCTGTAAATGTGATTATGGATGAACTAGCTGTAACATAGTCGACAAAATATGTACGTTAGACATATGTCGAAAACATTCATTAGGAAAGATACTCTAAGGACATTCTGACTGGGTAAATGGTTATTCAGTCAGAAAAGAGCTAAATATAGTTTACGATAAATTGACCTGATCAAATTCTACGAGAATTATGTACATAAAATATTATATACGAAATGACATTATTGAATGACCCGCAACCTCATTTACGTCAGTTGCGCAAAAAAGATTAAGCAACGTTAATTCAACGTTAAGCAACACAAAAGATCCAAACATATTTCAAGGACAATATGGCCATTAGTCTGAAAAGTTAGAGAATAAGATTTTGTCTTTATTTATTTGAGGTAGGTGCGGATTAAAAAAACAACACACGCTGTTTTCTGTTTTACAGTCGCATCTGTGCTTTTCTTTCATTGATAACTTGCAATTATGAAAAAAAATCCTCATCATGACCACATCTTCTTGTAAAAAGATATTTTTTAAGATTTAACTTGCTGGTGGTAAACATGCTTTAACATTAAATTCAAAACTTCCATATGTATTAGATCATAATTGTTCCACTGTGTCATGTTTAAATTCAACAATTCGTTGTTGCCAATATCTGCTAGTACTTTTAAATGTTGATTCTAGATCATCTGGTGACGGACGAAAAGAATCTTGTAGATTAAACCTGTCTCTTAGTGTGAAACGAAATTTGATCAAGGTTGAAGAAAATCTCGATAATAATAGTGCCCATTGTTCGCCATTTGCAAATAAAGATCGATTAGATTAAGCTGTTAAGTATTTTAAATTCGGCATTTTTTCAAATAAAATTTGAATATCTTGAAATTCTATAAAATCACTAAAGTAGACAATTAAACGTATTAAATTTGGTAAGATATTTGTTGTTATTGTTGTTGTAAGTGGTAAATAATCTTTATCATTATCATTACACAACTAATCAATTTTGATTGATTTTAATTTTTGTAATGCTGGTACTAAATGAATAAGGTATTCACTAGACATATGATAACAAAATAAATATTGTAAATTTGCTGTTGTTGATTTTGGTATAAATAGTTCATTCAGTTTTATATTTATACAATTATTTAAATAAAAATATGTTAATGACGGTAATAATGATGGAGAAAAAATATTGTTTAAATGAAATAATAAATGGAAATAATAAATATTGTTTCAATGAAATGTGTTACATTCTTCGATGATATGATGCTTCTTCACCATTAAGAAAAAGATTTTCTAATGATTCTAATTCTTTTGATGAACATGATAATAATAATAATGAATAGAATTAATTGATTTGTTATAAAAAGTAATTCATCAACATGTGTCACATTCTCAGATGTTACTTTTTCTCCATTACAAAAAACAATCTCTAATGATTGTAACTGTTGTAATGACAATGACACTAACGAATCGATTAACTGGTCTGTTATAAAAGATAAATCATTATCACGTACTAAGTGAAACTGAATGAAGTCCAGTAAAAAATTTTAATGAATATGATGATAGAAATTGATAGATGTGATTTTTGAGGATAGCTCAGCCAAAACTTGATCAAAATGGGATTCCAAGTAGATATTCGGAATCAGCTCTTCGAGCTCTATCTAACCATGTAAGCTATTATCTTGTAAGAATAAAATATTATATTTCTTCCAACAACGTAAGATCATGGATGTTTCCTAAATCCTAGAAAGTGCACTGGGCTTGTTAACTCGCTCCGAAAACGTCAGTGAATGCAATCTGCATGTTTCACTTAACAGTTTTCCGACAAGAGTTTAATTACAAGTTATTGTTGTGTTTAGTGACAGTTTGTAGACGGTTGTGATCACCTCAGCAACCATAACCATATTATAATGAATATCGAAGTTAATATGACCTATGATGGCACCTACTCCAATTCCATAGTTGGGATAAAAACTCACTGTTTCGGTGCCCAAGTCGAAGACAGGTACAGTACTTAAATTCGTTCCCAAAGATCCAAGCCATATTCGATTGCAGGTGTCGAGTGTCATGAAACGCACACTCGTCACATTTGGGAACTGATACACGTTGTAAAGAGTTGCAGTATTTAAATCGATCATAAACATCTGAGAGACAGGAAGAAACGTAACTACGTAGACACGTTGATTTGCAATAACAAGGTCAACTGGACTAATATTATAACTCGAAAAATTGAAAAACACTGACACACTGAATGTAAAGAGGTTTAGTTTCCAAATGGACTTAAAAACCCAATCACAAACATATATGTAATTATTCAGTTTTTTCAGACCTCGACC